TTGTCTTTTCTTCTTTACATAATGTTGAAAATTATTTTATTCTACAACACATTCTAGAGGAAGTCAATGAAGACAAACAATGTCTATGGGCTTCAGAAGCATTGTTCAGCTATTAGTTTGTGATGTATTTGATCCACGGAAAGGTATCAATTATATGGATATATGTGAATGAATCTAGTATTAAGAACATTCAAAACAACTTACGAAGAGCTCTCTCAGCATGGCTACATTCACGTACAACACTGAACCAGAAACTGCAAGGCACGACAAGATTCATACAGAGACAAGAAGAAATGCTTTAGAGTGAAACCCATTGACATCAGTTACCACATTATCAGATAGGCTGTGTTTGAGAACGTGCTTAAGCTCATCAAAATTGATGGAGAGCTTAACCCGGCTGATAGCTATACCAAGGTGATTTCTTCTGTAATTTTTCAAGACACCCTGCAACTTTGCAAATTTTGCAGCACTAACTTAGATTACATGATAGTTTCTATATATGTAGTTTTTCTCTGACATGTTGTTGGTTTACTTCTAGTTAAGCCTTGTTCATAGGGAAAAAGCTATGGTTTAGTTTTACTTTCTAGAACTTCTCGTTGAAACTATATATGGATCATAGAAACGGTCTCCTCCAAGACTTGAGTTAAGGAAAAGTTTATAAAGTTAATCCGTGTCTTGTTATTCATAGTTAGTCTAATCCTAGTTAGGCTTGACCTCTAGTCAAAGTCTTAATCTGGGGACAGGCACGTTTTTGTTTTTGTTTTAGTTTCACATGTAATTGCAGTGGAGAGACTGTGGAGAGCTTGGCTATGGAGTCCTCATGTACATTCTTGCTTTAGTGAAAGTTTTATCTCGGCCTTGAACGTAGTTTCATGTGAAGATGAACTTAGTAGATTGGTGTGTGATTCTCGTAGAGTTTTGTTTGTTTGAGCTTGTTTGAAGAATAGAGGTGAGATCCTACAACTTTCACTACACCAGGCAAGAATAACTTTCTACTCAACTTTCTTGACTTGATTGGCTGGACATTAAAAATCGATTGAGAGAACACGAATGGTACAAGAAGATCAGATGCTTCTACTAAATACTTTTTTAATATGCATAGAGAGATTTCTACTAGATTATAAATTCTTCAGCTAAAGCTCAACTCTAAAAAAGTGATTCGTTATCAAACTAAGATTTTGTGCTCAGTAGGACAATATTATGCTTGTCTTTACAAGACTGAACCTCACTCTTACAAGTAATAGCTTATACATCTTGATCTCATGACTAGGATTTCTGATAAACTTATCTATGTTGAACGCTGTATGCTATCTGCAACTCCCACATTCAAAGCGATTGAAGATGTGTTGTTTCTTCTTCCTTCCAAGAAGACATATGGGATCAATAGAGTTTTTGCTGAAGCATTACCAAAAATTTGGCCTCTGATGAAGAACTTCTACTTGGCCACAGTGCACAAATTTTGGAAGAATGAAGTTTTGGCTGAAATCATTACTGAAGGTATGATAGGACTCATCCTGAAAACTATAAACCACATTAATTTCAAAGATTGGAGGCCGCTGACTATGCTTAGCACTGATTATAAAATTATTTTAAAATTCTTGCTAGCAGGCTTCAATTGCTTCTTCCAACATTCATTTCAAATCGGGTTCATTAAAGACCTAAGTTTGTTCGAGAATGCTATGACTCTTTGGATGGCTGAAGATGCCGCAAAAGCCTGCAATATTAAGGGTTTGTTTGTCAAGTTTGACTTTTAGAAAGCCTATGATAGGGTGAATCACACGTACTTGGACACTATGCTTATTTGTCGCTTGGATAAGCATTTTGTTACGCTGGTCAAAAGTCTTTTTCTTGATGCCTCCACTATTGTACATCTTAATGGTTCTAAAACGTTTTGATTTCTTGCGGAGAGAGGTGTTCAAAGATCTTACTCTTGGCGCTCCATTGTTGTACACCTTAATTGTTCTAAAACATTTTGATTTCTTGTGTAGAGAGGTCTTCAAAGGTCTCACTCTTGGCACTTCCTTGTTGTACACCTTAATTGTTCTAAAACATTTTGATTTCTTGTGGAGAGAGGTGTTCAAAGGTCTCACTCTTGGCACTTCCTTGTTGTAAACCTTAATGGTTCTAAAACATTTCGATTTCATGTGGAGAGAGGTGTTCGTCAAGGTTGTACTTTACCTCTCCTATTGTTTGCACTTGCTATTCAACTCTTGATGGCTGAGATGCAACACAAATCTTCTATTGGACAGCTCAAGGATTCAAGATAGACGAAATTGTTGTTTTTGATTACTCTCTCTTTGCTTGTTGTAAACCTTATTGGTTCTAAAACATTTCGATTTTATGTGGAGAGAGTTGTTCGTCAAGGTTGTACTCTACCTCTCCTATTGTTTGCACTTGCTATTCAACTCTTGATGGCTGAGATGCAACACAAGTCTTCTATTGGACAGTTCAAGGATTCAAGATAGACAAAATTGTTGTTTTTGATTACTCTCTCTTTGCTTATGACATGAGAGTTTTTCTTGATGATTGCTTATGCTCTTTTTAGGAACTCAAAGCAATGATATCCAAATATGAAGCTGGGAGTGGTGCTAGACTTAATCTAGCCAAATATTCTATTCTCTTGCTAGGTATGGACAGAACCCTGACTGGATAGTGCTCGTTGCAAACTGCTGGAAGGTGGGACTATACACAAATATCTTGGTACTCATACTGGTATGGAATTACCTCTAAACACCGTGACGATTTCTGAATGGAAAAGGTACCTAAAAGGATATGGCTAAATTTGGCTGTATGCGGGAAATTCTAGAATGCCCTCTCTCTTTGGTCGAGTGTTTGAAGGACACTCTTTGCCGAAATGGCTGAGAAAGAAGGGTCTTCGCACTACGTGCCTCTCCCTATAGTGCTCGTGCGTGGAAATCGTCAAGCCATTTCCGGTGCGTAGGCGTGTAAGGGAGTTTTGAGAATGAAATGGAGCTGTATGAAGGTAAACTTTCACGTAGGTGGTTGGGATTCTACTTTCCTCTCCTTTGAATCGCGTCTCACTCTACTACAAGCACAACCTACCTTTTAAACGTCTTTGATGCGCGTTTCGACTGGAGCGTGCAAAAAGATTTAACAATTGTACAAACAATTTTTGTGGGGATATTTCAGAGTACTATACTTGTCTTTCAATTTTATTTCAATATGTTGAGATACATCTATGTAAGATATTTTAAATTCTCAAGGTGGATTGTAAATATTTTAATTTGTCTTGCTGTGTAGATACTTTCACTTCCAAAAAAAATTCTCCACTCGACAAGCAGGTTTCTAGCACCGGGAAAATCTCTTGATGAATCATATGAGTAGAAACACTTCACAATTGTACTAACAAAGTTAGCATTTACGTTAGTATTCTCGATTCCAACAAAACAGAAACCACCTCTGGTCATGGGATGCTAGCATTCAACATTAACACAAAGGTATTGCTTCATACAGGGTATGCGTGGAATAAGCGTCTAAGTAATACTGGATGACTCAACTCTAAACGTAAGCACAATGACTACCTTATGTTAAAGCCGCTCTTTCACAGGACATGCGTACAATCTAGTCCCTCGCAGAAAGAAAGGGAAATCTTACACATTTAGAACTAACATCCAATTATAAGAAATGAGCGGATGCAAACGTTACCAAATACGAACTTAATACAATCAAGTAGACTCGGCTCTGAGTGGACGGACCTTTTAGGGAAGGTACGTTATATACGATGTGGGCGAAGTGAGTCTACAAATACTGAACCAATCAATAAACGTCAGCATCCTACAATCTCCTACTAAAAAGGAAACATCATAAACAACAAGTTTACGAAGTTCACTTTCGTTGAACTTGTATACTTCGACGGCGGTATTCTCGTCATTGATTTGAGATCGTTTTTGTCTACATTGTTTCATGCGTCCGCGCAATTCTTCAGCAGCTGTCGCTGGTTTCACGAACTACAGGCACTCCACTTCACAAGGTATAGAATAACATGTAAATCATATTAAGACGAGCTAAATTATCTCAAATACATGAAATACATGGTATTCCAAAGGGGCATAACAAACAAAGGGACAAAAAAAAATCTCGGACCCAGGTGGTACTTCCCACGGGTACTAAGTGGGTGGTGGCGAACGGAAAAGAACCATGTAGACAAAGACCAAAGAGCACAGAGCGATGTCACCTTGGTAGAAACAAATAGATGCAAACATGCAAACGATGACCATAAAAGCGATGGTTAATGGAAGCTAGTGATATAATTAAGAGAAAGAAACCCAACAACTGTAATATCGACAGCCCTTGGGCACTAATGGAACAGTATAAAAGTGCCATTTCAACGAAAGAAGGTATCCAGTGACCATAAACAATAGTTGGAATGGGAAACGTCAAATCCACAGAACATACGTCAGCAGTTTCATCTGTAAAAACCAAGGTCCATAGGACTTTTCACTCGACTGCTCAGGGGTTGAAAATAGCTTGAAACCCAACAAACAACATACATATGGATGGCTGTTGCCCAAACCTGTGGACATATATTGCCTAGCAGTACAGGAGACCACAAGCAGAAAGGAAAAACCGAGAGATAAGAGGAAGTGTCTCTCCACTCAAACAACATCCATAAAAGTAAGATGCAGTGCAAACATATCACACAGTGAAGAGTCAATGCAGTAAGTTAAACTAACGGGGAATAGTAACAAGCTATGGCCCATTCACGAGAGTCAATAGGAACATCAGCAACTGCTGGTGATACGTCTGCAATACGTCCTAATGAACTGGAACAAAGTCCATATTGTCAAAACGTACTAACTAACATGTTCCAAAACATAAGGGACAATGTGGAAGAAACAAGCAGCCAAATGGAAAGTCTATCAGATTAAAACATCAAAGAAACATAATAGATGCAGATGATTTACAAAAAGTTTCCGCAGGTCACTGCACGAAGGCAGATACACAATTAAACTAATGTTAAACTGACAATTCTCCACGGCAGCAGCTTGTTCAGAAAATCTGATCATTAAAATTTCATTAGAAAGTACAAAACTCCAAGGCCAAGACATTACAGGCCAAGATATTACAGTAGGAGACCTCATCTTCTTGGATCAACTAGGTGGCGAGTGAAAACTCCTAAATATGAAGATGTGGATGATCTGTACAATGTATTGTTAAACGAGTATATCTGATAAGACTTTGAACCTGTTCGCGTTCAGTAAGGCTACATCATCCGATCAAGACCATTGACGACTCTCGATTGCATGAACATTAACAGAATAATGGCATTTCTCGCTTTTACGACATGCTTTGGTCTCCCACCACTTACGTGGCAAGGATGAGTACACGTTAACAAGTGACTGTCACACTACACAGCACTAAACTTCGGCTTTCAGTTGAACTGTGGCTCTAGATCTTCACCAATATATACAGTGGCATACAGTTCAACTTGTTGAAATCCGTCAGAGAGAGACGGACTTAGTCTTTACCTAAATAATGTTGGCCTAAGGTAGAATCAACCTCAGAATCATTGGATCACCTAATTGAGTTGGACAGAAAAATAGTGGTAGCACAACAAAGTCTCGTATGCGAGGCCTATCAGGAACTTTATCGGTGGATGAGTCGTCGTGTGCGGTCGTTCGCACCCCTCACCCTCACATTCAACTCAGTTACATCATCGGACATACGATCCAAGTCACCGTTTTGTCTGCATACATGTTGGCATACGTCCAATAAGAATAAAGTGACTAGCTAACTAACAAGTTTGCACTTCACGGTCTCAAATATTGCATGTCTTGAGCAAAAAACATCAAAAACTGATCTGCAAGTTAGTTACTGACCTTTGAATTTCGTTGCCCATATCTAAAGTCATGTTTTTCAGTTGACCTAAAACGTTGCTTAAATCCGTCAAAGCATCGTCTTGCTTCTCTCGTTCCATCTGTTAAATCAGAGCATTCCAGAATTAGCACAGTGCAATACGAATAGGAGCTGAAAGAACGAGAACTGTGGACGAAAAATACGAAGAATCAAGTGGAAGTGACAGGTTGCCATACCTCCAATTGTGCTTGAGCACCGGACAAGCCCGACATATTCGAAGTGCGCCTTCCTTGATCGTGGTTTCCAGTCAAGCCAAGATTTGCCCTATCCCTATCCCCTGAATTCTGTCCTCTCCTCCTGTACTGCTCCGCTGTATGACAATATACCAGTAATAGGTCAAGGAAAGGCTGAGGACGAGCAATACAGAGGAAAGTTTCAGGAGGAGTTTCAGTAAACTTTAAAACACTTCACAAGATCCTAAAGTCAGGTTTCGCAGCACTTACTGTTTGGTTCGGGTCCAGTGATAGGCCGACCTTTCTTGGGTTTCCACGTCTTGGTGAACATACCGCCGAGACTTCCTAGGAGCTTCTCGCCCTTTATTTCCAAAACCCAAATAAATGCGAGAGATCAGTTAAGGCCGCTGATAGTAACAATGGTACACAGATTTTTGTAGCAATTTCAAAGGGGTACTAATTCTAATGCGATGATTCGAAACTGCATGAGAGATAGGAAAGACTCTTGGATGAGAAAGTTATCAGCCATCATGTCTGTTGCGAAAGTGATGGCTGACTAGAACCTTGAAAAAGATGATGACCGAAAATGGATTGCACGTCTTGATTAAAGCGGCAGAGGGCAACATCGAGAAAATTTTGATGAGGCTTTGGCAAGAATGACAAGAAGTGTGTTCTTGGATACTGAAACAGTCTTCGGAACAGAGGGAAGAAGAGGAACCCGACGACGCGTAAATATATGGAGCAAGATGATCCAAGATCAGTTATCAGGGGCAAACCACTACTTCTCACTGTCTTGACTACCAGCCTTGTGGCGTCATATCTTCTGCGAAAGCATATCGCCTAATATCAAACATGGAGTTACAGCTGAACGTCCCTCAATAACGAATGTGAAGTCCAAGAATCTTACCCGGCTGAGTTCGTCGTCGACACGAAGAGCGGTTTCATGAGTGCGCCGAATCTGGTCGCCTTGGTCGTGCAAAGTCTCCATGGTCTTTGTGGCCACTCCCACGGTATCTTCAGCAATTCTGACACAATTTTTTATACTACTGGTGGTGTCTTGAGACTTGGAGATCGCATGCTGTTCAAGCTGCTCGACGGTTTGATCCGCATACCTACTTTCGTCAGCATAATTTGAGTATTGCTGAGGTGCCATGTAGCTCGGCTGCGGTTCGCCATACAAATCTCTCATCTGTTGCTTCGCCTTGCCTCTCTTAGATTCAGCCTTTTCGTCTGAATGACTCGACGAGGACGACGAAAATGCCGGTAAGGACGGCAGCCTCACACTACTCAAAGTACTGGCCGCGGTGTCTTTCATTCTAGCGCTACCTTCCACAAACTTCGTCCCACCTGCTTTAAGCTTCGCTGTAAAACCTCGCGATGAAGGTTCTTTGGTTGGTTTGGCTGCTCTCTCATCATCGTCGAAGAGCGATCCATCATCAAGAATGCTGTCACCTCGCGATTTAGGTTTCGAAGTAACTTCATCGGCATCGTCAAAAGGATTGGAGGCGCCCCGGCCACTCGCGCTGCTGTAACCAGATTGCGAAGGCTTGGCCTTGTGCCCATTAGTAACATGCTTAACTGCTACAGGCTCGTCGTCGTCAAATGGATTCAGAGAATCCACAGAGCGACGGGGCGCGTACTTGCTCACAGAATGTGCAGGAACATCATCATCAAAAGGATTGGTAAAACGAGAGCTGGAAGTGGCCGAATTGGTTGCACTCCGAACTTTAGATGTGACGATCTGAGGAGACTCGTCATCGTCCGAGTCGAAAGGGTTCGACACACGACGGGACATCGCTGATCTATCATTAATTGCCGTGTGCCCTGCATGGTTACTATGCACGGAGGTCATGTTTTACCCTCCAGAAATCAAAGAAAAGATGTGTTCGCCCGGCTTCGCCAACACTGAAAACACGATTCTCCACGAAAAAATCTACAATTCGCCTCAACAGAGTCACCTCACTCTGCTCCAATCCCGCCTGATAAAACACCCACACAAAGCGATCTCGTGACAATTGCAGTGACAACGATCAGAAGGATCGACAGAGAGCACCACTGCAACGCCTGATTTTCTGAATAACGCAACTGAAAGCCCGCTACGCTAGAAGCCGATAATCGGAATCGGGCTTCGAGGCTTAAGGGCAGTTGCTTGGGGTTCAAATCAAAGAGCACGCACAGACTCACACACACGAACAAGCACACGCACACGCACACACAAGAGCGCTCGAAGCTCAACCGATAGATAACAGTCCTCTTGTCCAAGTCTAGGCGCGTGGCGACGGTGAGCGACCAGGCGGCTGTTGTTAGCCAGCGTACGCAGTTGCAGTACGCAGGGTCGCGGTCAAGTCCTCTTTCTCCTTCACTCACGCGCCTCATGGCCCACCAACCCGTCCGTAAACCAGGGTTAGGTTCCCGAGTCAAGAGGAGCGGCCTGCCACCCCGCCTGCCCGTCCTGCCTTCCCGCGCAACCTGCCGGGAGTTTCTGATGGTGCTACTGTACCTCCCGCCGTGACTCCGCGGGCTCCCGTACCGAACCCGCCTGTATCATGCGAATGTCCGGTGGGTTCTCGTGCTGCCACGCGCGGGCGACGGTGCGGGTTTGCGAAACGGCCTTCACCAGACCTCTCTCGGTTGGTGTTCCGGTCACGGTCAACGGAATATTCTATGCTCTAAACCCGATCGAAAGGCTTTCTTGGGTGAGAAGAGTTTGGTAATCTCGAGTGATTTGACTGAGGGAGTTATACACCTACGCAGGTCAATTAATGGAAGCCGTCTTTAACCACATGCTCGGGTACGAGTTGGCGGGTAGTGAAAATCCCAGGCGATGATGATGCTACAACTTGCTTGCCTGGAATTGTGCTCGAATCTGGTTTGTCAAACCGAGACGCAGACTTTTTATGAGGTGCTGCATGCGCATTCGATCCAGAGAAGTATTGTGAGACTCCTGAAGGAGTAGAAGGACCTTGCCTGGCACGCTGGTCGAGTTGCCGAGCAACCTTCGGGGACAAACTTGCTTGGCATCGAAGTCCTCAGGGAGTTCAGCAAGACGTCGTCCACCCCTAAAAGCGAGCCATTGGAAGCTAATGTTCCTAATTGGCGAGAGGATATACTCGACAATATTATTTGGCCTTCGCACGTCCTGAATCTCATGAAGAAACCGTCAAAGCCACCAAGGTTGACCTTGCCATACGTCGGGAACTGGAAAGCAGAGGAGACAAGAACGAGAAAGTACCCGGCAACAACGTCGTCCATTCGACTTATTCGTACCACCATCACCTTATCGGACAACATGTGCTCTTTAGAATCACAGAGAGTTAAAACACTGCGGAGTGGGGATTTATGAAAACATATAGCGTCGAAACCACACAACGTAATTGTGCGTTAATTCCACGTAAAATCGAGAGTGTTGAAATAAATCGACCAAAGTTATGATACACAAGTGCGGAAAATCTAGCAAGGAAAGTCAATCGCTTCGAACTCAGATGATGTTGTGTTACCGCAAACCTTCACATGACAGATAAAGGACTGCAGCAAAAGAGTAGACTGCTGAAAGGGATCGGCAGGGGAATCCAAACCGAATACATCCAGCGGCATGCACATCCATCCGTGAAGGCTCCGCTATCACTACAGTAAACATGCCCCGCGTCAGACGAAAGCCACCGAACCGCTGCAAAGCAGTTGCCAGACCGCAGAGTTATCAGCGGCGCAATGAGAAGACCGCCAGATCTCGAGAAAGTTCAGTGAATATTAATATGTTGCCGGTCAGAGAAACAGCTGGGTCAGACCGTCAGACCGTCAGACCCATGAGCGCGGGAAGACGCGACAAAAACTGATACGGAACGAAGTTGGGGGAACTCCTTTTACTCGGTGCCCCTGTTTTTAGATCTCCTCCAGTGGATACGGTAAGTTTCCTTTAATTCACGTCGAATATTTTTACCTCGATGGTGGATCGATGGATGAGGAAAGGCATCATCGACGATGACGGTGGGTCCATGTACTGTAGGAGGAGGATGAAGAGGAGGTGGGTTCACGATCTGGATGTATGTGGATGTGTATGTCAGTCAGTCCTGAGACTAAAGTGTACCATGGAGCATATCTTTGCGGGATGCATGGATGGATTGAGGTCATGAAAGTCAAGACGACCTTGTCTCTTTTGCCCCAGTGCGACCATGTCAGCCAGGACATGGTCAGATCCACTTGCGCCCGGAAGACTCGAGATGTCCGAGTTCAGGTCTACTCCTGCTACACGAGCATTTGTTCTTGTAAGCGTGGGATCCACAGGAGGAAGCTCCACACCGTCGTGGAGGTTTGTTGCAAACCCCTTCATGTGATCAGATAATGTATTTATGTCGAGGCTATGTATAGTTCCATGTCATATTACACGATTTGATTCTCATTCGAATAAAGACATACTTCCTGATCCATGATGCGTGCTTGGTGTACCTGCAACCTCTATTTCTTTGAATCGGTATAATTTGAAATATCACATCATATATTTATCATTTTTATAATATAGTATCAAGAGATGTTTTAAAAAATAACTATCATGCAAACCATGCCCAATATGATTAAAAAAAGGAGTGAAAAACCATAAAAATACAAGAAAAGAAAGGAATAGAACTTATGATTTGGATACAAATTAATTTAATTATGATACTAGGTAAGATATTCCAATCATTAAAAGAACGTAATATGAATTTATTTATTTATACCAAGAAATCTCGTATATGAATTGATACATAAAATGACCTAATATTTAGTTGGAATTTTATTTTTTCATTTTTATTTATTTACTCATAATATTTTGTAATTTCAAAAAGTCCAATTTTATATAATTCAATAATATCATTATTAAAACATAAATCTTATACTTGAAAAACGTTTTATGGAAATTCTTTTGAGTTCAAAACAGTGTAGCAAATATGATCTGATCCTCTCGAACATTGCATCGAAAATGACTTCACATGTAACCGCCTTCAGTTGAATTCTATCCTGTACCACAAGTAGCTTCTGCAGACATTCACATTTGATCCCAATAAGCGACACAAAGAGTGTATGCGAGCCGTCACGTAACACCAGTTACAAAAATGGAATATACTAATTCAAGACCTTGGCCAAGTTGGAAGAACTGTGAACAATCTTGTAGTCATCAACATTGAAATCATGAATACTAATGGCCAGCATTCACACAAGAACTGAAATCATCCAAAAGCCCTCAATCAACATCGATCAAGCATCCTCGGAATTGAGAGACCTATAACAGCAAACTTGTGTATTCTCATAGTTTCCTTTGACCTTTTTGTGTTGTCTGCCACGTTTCCACAACAATTACTGTTCGACGTCCGTTGGAAGACTCCTCAGACCTGATAAAATGCTGACAAAATAATATGTCTCAAGAAGATGGAATCAACGGATCAGTCGCGCTGTGGATGATATGGGTGAACATGCCTGCTCGTTTGTTGTATACTTTTCTTTGGTGACTTATGGGCCTTGGTAATGCGAAACTGACTGCACAGGAGATGGAAAAGAGGAGAAGGGCAGGCCTTTGTGAGGGATGGTAAGATTCAGTGTGAGGAATTGACACACGTGGGTTTTGACAGGAACGTTTCCTCATCCACATTCTTCCGTCAGAACATCACATCCCTTAGTTGCTGCCAGGATTACGGTCCTTCGAGAAAACGAAGATACAATGGAATAAAGCATTGGGTTATCTGTGTGGTTTGCTATCTGACGTTTGCTACTCCATGATCTTTCGAGACTCCATTACTACGACAGGTTATTCCGTGTCAGGCTACGAGAGCTTTTGAGAAATAGTTTTGCCTGATGACGAGGAAGATGAAAGCAGGAGATATTGCGTGTCGATGGCGCTTGTGTTCGTGGAGCAAATTCGAAGCAGCGGAACATTCATGAGACACGCTAATGCTTGTGAATCCATTGACTTGGTCGAGAATTTTTATCGGCAGGGAGCCTCACTGAGCAGGCACAAGCAGTTGTTTGATCATCGAGAGCATGTGTGGAGCTAGTTCGGGACGTGATTTAAATCCTTCTTCAGAATTCCATGTCCAACGACAAAAAAAGTCTTTGATAGAAAATCCCTGCATAGACTTAGCTTATCAGTGTGCCATAAAAGTATAGCTGGGATTTTCAAATTTATTATTTTTTCTTTGAGATAAACGATTGATTTTTTGATTACGAGTGTCCTTCATGATACGAAATCTGAGGATAAGGGCAGAAGTACCAAATATTGGATTTGGAAGTGTGAAGATTGGAGTCATATTCATCTTGCCAAGAGGAGGATGGCGTTACTGCTTTGAACCAGAAGAGAACAGCACGTTCAACGAAAGGAGAAACCTGTCCTTATTTGCAGCACAAAGCACGAGTTTTTGTAGGAATGTTGAATCGATGTAGAGCAAACCTACCAGTAAGGAAACTGAATTGATGGGTTTTACAATAATGCTATCCACGAATAAGAACTATCTTCACTTCAGTAGCAAAGGCTTTGTAATACAATGCTTGTATGCTTCTCAAAATACTGGGTGCACTATGAGAAAAATATATTGTGTCCACTTATAATTCTATCATGTGAACGAAATAAAAGTAAGACATGTTAACCCATTCCAGTATTCCAAGAAACTGGCATTGGGGTGAGTACGACTATCAATACCAATGATGGACTTCCGAATACACATTGCAACTGAAGAACCTAGGAGGAGCATTATTCCTATGGCGAAGGGAATACGTTGGGCAAAACCAACCAGAGAATTTTGAGGGGAAACTTTTATATGGAGTAGGAATGAGAGGAAGATCGACGGGTGTTGCAGTTTGGGCGAAAGGTTAGATGTAGAGGGGGAAGGATGACGTTGATTGAGAGGGATCGGCTTTGTTTGGTGGTAGTTGGTGTTGTGTGAACACCAATTAACATATACAAGCTTTGGCTGAAATGCGATTGCATTAGAAACAATGCTTTCGGAACGAGATGTTACCATTTGAAAAGAGCAAATTGCAAGCTATAGAACATTCGTTTCTCTGTTATTTTTGTTATAGCCCGACAATGCTCTTGATAAAGCTTGTAGACCCTCGATCTCATGCAAACGATCAGAGAACAACAGAGCGCAGTTGTGAATTCTGCGCCATATATACTTCACTATCATCGGCCGGAATTTTAATACAACTGTTTGAATTTTCACAGCGGAGACTTTGAATCAAGCTTCACAAATTTTCCTCCCTGTGCGTGCACCAAATGATTTATTAGAGACTCTTCCCAAAAGACT